GGGAAATGAGACGAGGGTTAGGGATTGAGAATGATAGATTGGGAATTATGGCACGAGAGGGAAATGAAGACAATTTACCTTTGGAGCGGATCAGAAGTGGAACGGATCTGAAGCAGCAAGAGCAGCCCAATAGCCCATATCTGCAAAACAAATGAGAAAGAAAGAATTTGTTTGATTCTGTTACAAAGGATTGCCAGCTGGCATCCTTAGGATTCTGGTATTGTAACTAAATAAAACAAACTGTGATGAGGTATTTTCCTCATGTTATGAATGAACAACCATTTCTTCTCTGAAAACTCTCAATTCTTCTCTATTCTTATTCCCTATTTCTCGATTTCTCTTCTACTCACCTAAAACCATAACAAATTGGTATCAAGAGCTACGATTCTGGCAAGATTTTTGAGGGCATGCCAAAGAAGAACCAATCGATGGCAGAAGCTGATTTGGCCGGGATTCAGAAACAGATTGAAGACCTTACTGCTTTGGTGAAACAAGGTCAAAATGAGACTAATCCACCTAAATGGTGGGAGACTCAGGAAAATAGGATTACTGCATTGGAGGCAAGAATGACCACGAATCACAGCTATGTGGAAGATATATTGAAGATCTTAACTGGCAGAAATGGTGAACAAGAGCAGCCTGCAGGGGATCAGGTATACTCTCCTAATAACTCTAAAAATGGGGAGAAAAATCCTGTTTTGGTGACGGTAGTTAAGGATAAATCAAGATTTTCGTATAAAACTGATGAACCGGGGATCTTGAAGGATAAGCCTGATGCTTGTTTAGCCATTAAGAACAGTTCTAGGCATGAGAATTTAATGGGTGAAAATAGTAATATTAGACCTGTTATGCTGGGACTGGAAACTGAAAACAGGGGAACAGGGGGTCATTTAGCAGCTCGGGAACTATGTGGCATAGACCCAAAATAGAGTTGCCATTTTTTGAGGGGGTAAATCCTAGGGGATGGCTTCAGAAGTGTCTCAAGTATTTTTCCTTATGCAATGTTCCTGTAGATCAAAGGGTAGAAGTGGCTACTATGTATCTTACAGGAAAAGCAGAAATATGGTTTGATGGCTATATTATGCAGAAACATCATGTAACTTGGCATGAGTTTGAAGCTGATTTGTGCCATAGATTTAGTGACAGGTCTTTTTGTGACATTGTGGAGGAATTCACTAAACTTACTCAAAAAGGATCTGTTGAAGGTTATCAAGAAAGGTTCGAGGAGTTACAACCACACATGCTATTACAGAATCCTACTTTGGGGGAGGATTTCTTTGTGTCACTTTTCATAAGTGGATTGAGAGAAGACATCAAACATAGAGTAAAAGCTTTAGATCCTAAAAATTTATCTGAAGCATGCAAACAAGCTAAGCTCTATGAGTTATCTGTGGAGTTTGAAAACAGAAAGTTGAGACCTTCCTTTAAGGTCCCACCCTACCCAAACCCCATTATTACTTCCAAGACAACTTCAATACCCCTACCTACTAAATCCACACCAATTTCCAATCCTAAACAGAATCTTATTGATTACAGAAGGCAGAATAATCTTTGTTTTAAGTGTGGAGAGAAATTTCAGCCAGGGCATCAATGTAAAACAAGAAACTTTAATATGATGATTGAAGAGGAAAGTCCTATACCTACAGAATCTGTTCCTCCTGACTCAGACCAATAGATCATGCAAGAAGAGGAAAGCTTAGAAATTTCTATGAATGCAATCACTGGGTGCATTAGTCATAACACATTGAGGATTCAAGGAACAATTCAAGGCAAACCCTTGAACATACTGATTGACAGTGGCAGTACACACAGTTTTTTGACACCTCAATGGGCTGATGCTGGCATTCAAGTCCTAACTCCATACCCTTTGGCTATTACAGTAGCTAATGGTCAACAACTATTTAGTTCAGCTAGATGCAACAAAGTAGAATGGCAGATGCAAGGACACTCTTTCATACATGATTTCAGACTTCTTAAATTGGGAGGAAGTGATATGGTGTTAGGGGTGGATTGGATGAAATTATTTAGTCCAATTCTGATGGACTTTAATCAGATGACAATGAGCTTTAAACATCAAGGGGAGAATATTGTTATACAAGGACAGCAACCTTCACTGCTTTTGCAGCAGATTTCAGGTGCTACCTTACTGAAAATGACAGCTTCAGATACACCTATTTTGGGACATGTGGTTTTACTGAGTATGAATGAGACTCCTAAAACCATTCCTCAAGTTCTTAAACCTCTTTTAAAGAAGTACAACTCTATTTTTGATGAACCTAAGGGGTTACCACCTAGAAGAGCTCATGATCATGCTATTCCTCTCAAACATGGATCTAGTCCCATTAATTTGAGACCATACAGATTTCCTCATAACCAGAAAACTGAAGTGGAACAACAAATTGCTGCTATGTTATCTTCTTCTATTATCCAACCTAGCAAGAGTCCCTTTGCTTCTCCATGTCTTTTAATTAAGAAGAAGGATGGCACTTGGCGGTTTTGTGTTGATTATAGACAATTAAATAGTCTGACAGTGAAGGATAAGTTCCCTATTCCGATTGTGGAGGATCTATTGGATGAGCTACATGGTGCAGTTTATTTTTCCAAGATTGACTTAAGGTCAGGCTATTGGCAAATCAAAATTAAAGAAGAGGATATCTACAAAACAACATTTAGAACTCATCAAGGGCATTATGAATTCAAGGTAATGCCTTTTGGTCTAACTAATGCTCCTGCCACATTTCAAGCATTAATGAATGATTTGTTTAAATCATTTCTTAGAAAGTTTGTTTTGGTGTTCTTTGATGATATTTTAGTTTACAGCAATTCTATGACAGAACATATTACTCATTTACAACTAGTTTTGGAGGTTTTGCAAGTTAATCAGTTATTTGCAAAGCTGTCCAAATGTTTCTTTGGACAGACTTAGGTGGAATATTTGGGGCATATTATTTGAGCAGCTGAAGTAGCTACAGATCCTACAAAAGTAGAAGCAATGAGGAATTGGCCTCTTCCTAAATCTTTAAAATCCCTGCGTGGATTTTTGGGGTTAACGGGTTACTACAGGAGGTTTATTGAAAATTATGGGTCCATAAGTAAGCCTTTGACTCAATTGCTTACTAAGGACAATTTTCAGTGGACTACTACAGCTTTGACTGCTTTTGAGAATTTAAAACAGGCTATGTGTGTTGCTCCTGTTTTAGCTTTACCTGATTTCAGTAAAAGTTTATGTTTGGAAACAGATGCGAGTTCAGGAGGAATTGGTGCTGTGCTATCTCAAGAGGGAAGACCTATTGCTTATCTAAGTAAGGCTCTAAGTCCTAGACATACTGCCCTCTCTATCTATGAAAGGGAATATCTTGCTATTTTATTAGCAGTTTTAAGTGGAGGCATTACTTAGAGAGCAAGCCTTTTATTATTAAAACTGATCATGAGCCTCTCAAGTATCTACTGGAGCAGAAACTGACAACCACAATCCAAAAGAAAGGGTTAACTAAATTACTGGGGCTGGACTATTCTATACAGTACAAAAAAGGTAAGTCAAATACTGTAGCAGATGCTTTGTCAAGGCAATAGGAAGATGCTGGTAAATGTCTAGCTATTGGAACTACTTTGCTTATTCCTAGCTGGGTACATGATGTCGAAAACAGCTATAAGGATGATAAATTAGCTGCTGACTGGATCAATATTTTGACTGTGACACCTACTGCTGATCCTAATTGGAAATTTTCAAAAGGAATACTCAGATTTAAAGGCAGAGTTTACATTGGTTCTACTGGGTTTCTTAGACTACAAATTCTTCAAATTTTACATGACTCCCCTCATGGAGGTCATTCTGGGACTCAAGCTACTTATCAAAGGATTAAATCCTATTTTTATTGGCCTAGGCTTAAGGCTATGGTAGTCACTTATATTAAATCTTGTACAGTTTGTCAGCAAATTAAGGTGGAGCATATACCTAAACCAGGACTACTACAACCCCTTCCTATTCCTCAACAGGCTTGGGAGGTGATTACTATGGATTTTATTGAAGGCTTACCTACTTCCTTAAGGAAAAATTGTATATTGGTGATAGTAGACAAGTTTACCAAATATAGCCATTTTATGGCATTGTCTCATCCCTACACTGCAGTTGAGGTTGCTAAGCTATATCTAGACAATGTCTATAAGCTCCATGGTCAACCTAAAATGGCTATTTCTGATAGAGATAAAACATTTACTAGTCTCTTTTTGAGAGAGCTAATGAAGCAGTTGGGTACTACAACTTTATTCAGTACTGCTTACCATCCTGAAACAGATGGTCAGACAGAGAGGGTTAATCAATGTCTTGAGCAGTATTTAAGAGGCCTCTGTTTTTTGCAACCTAAACAGTGGGCTAAGTGGTTGGCTCATGCTGAGTGGTGGTATAATACTACCTATCACACAGCCTTAAACCTAACACCTTTTCAGGCTCTATATGGTTATAAGCCTCCTACAATGGTTTGGAAACCAGATGCTACAGTTTATTCTGTGGGTGAACTAATGAAAAGCAGGGAAGAAATCAGACAAATGGTGAAGCAACAATTAGAACAGGCTGCAAACCGAATGAAGCAACAGGCAGATAAAAAGCGTTCAGAAAGAAGTTTTGCAGTAGGGGATAAGGTTTACCTGAAGTTGCAACCTTATCGTCAAACATCCCTTGCACTACAAAAGAATTTTAAGTTAGCAGCCAAGTTTTATGGGCCGTACAAAATTACAGAACGAATCTGAGAGGTCGCGTATAAGTTAGAATTACCTGAAAATTCTCGATTGCATCCAGTCTTTCACGTCAGTATGTTGAAGAGGCATATTGGGCCAGTCGCAACATCTTCGACAGAGCCTCCTGTGGTAGATGAAGAAGGTCAGTTTCGCATAGAACCCAGTCAAATTTTGGGAAGGAGAATTATAAATCGAAATAACAGGCCAGTTACTCAGTTACTCGTTCGATGGACTAACCTGGACGCCTCACATGACACCTGGGAAGATTATTCAGTGCTCCAAGGCCAATTTCCGTCTTTTGATCCTTGGGGACAAGGATCCTCTCGAGGGGTGGGTATTGTCATGGTGGGAGGAGAAGGGCGTGAACGCGAAGAGGATGAAGGAGAATTGGGGGAAATGAGACGAGGGTTAGGGATTGAGAATGATAGATTGGGAATTATGGCACGAGAGGGAAATGAAGACAATTTACCTTTGGAGCGGATCAGAAGTGGAACGGATCTGAAGCAGCAAGAGCAGCCCAATAGCCCATATCTGCAAAACAAATGAGAAAGAAAGAATTTGTTTGATTCTGTTACAAAGGATTGCCAGCTGGCATCCTTAGGATTCTGGTATTGTAACTAAATAAAACAAACTGTGATGAGGTATTTTCCTCATGTTATGAATGAACAACCATTTCTTCTCTGAAAACTCTCAATTCTTCTCTATTCTTATTCCCTATTTCTCGATTTCTCTTCTACTCACCTAAAACCATAACAGAATTTCTAAGAGTTTTCCTATTCCAATGTTTGGGAATTGTTTTTAAGATTGAACCTTAACTAATCTATTTATAGAGGGGAGAGGAAACTAATCAAAAAGTCATAACCTTTTGATGAAGAGATTTGTTAAAAAACTATCAGGTATAATTGAATTGATGTAATTTTATACTAAATATTAAATATATTCACCAATTGACATAATTTACTATTAAAAGACATTAATTTTATTCAATTATTTATTATTTTTTTCCAACAAAAAGTACCTTGCACCTATTTCCTATGTTACCACAAACCACATTTTTCATCTGAGGTCCTGAATAAGACTTGACTTAAATCCTAGGTTTTGCTTTAGTGGTACATATCCTTTAGTCGACCCACCATCAATTAAGGCATCATCAAAAATTGTGCACGGACAAAAAAACCTCAAGTCACTAAAGCAGATCTTTTTTTCCCTCTCTTTTTTCTCTCATTTTGTAAGCCCAAAGCCCCCTTTTCAACAGTCCTGATGTCATCGGGCGTCACTCCGACCCTTTCCTCCCATTTGATGATCTTCCCATATTGGTTTAAGGATAAATATAGTCATGTTTTTTTTTAACTCATCAAATGGTTTATGGAATGAAAATAAATAATATATTCATTAATAGGTCTGGATTCGAATAGTTATATCTATAAGACGTGTGTTATCAGCGACTAAGAGACATTCTGAACATATATTATCAGAGTTTTGAATGACAGACGAGTAACGAAATAACGACTGCTATGTAACAGTAAAAATATCGTCCGAAATTGTTATTTTCAAAATAATGATGTGAAACAAAAGCACATCAATACTAATGGATGATGAGTTGTGATTGTAATTTAATGGGCAACGGTCAATTGTGACAATAATAAGTTGTTATTCTCATTATTATTTTATTCCGGTAAAATTTTAAAAAAAATCAACAGTCTATTATAATAATTAAAATTATTATATTTTACAATAAGCTGTGTATTTATAAAAATAATTATGTTCGTAATATCCTAGAGTGAAAACAATACTATATATTATGATACATGACCGAAATTTGATTAAGTGGGCTGCTACGTCTTATCTATGCCTTCATTGAATGAAAGCACAACCTCACCATTGAAGCGAACATAAGAAAGTAAGAAAGAAAAAACATATTTTGCAAAGAAGCCAAAAGTATTTCAATGCATTTAACATTTCAAGTGTTGCATTCACCTAAAAGCAAAGGAAACGCATCCACATAAAATCCTCAACTTCAAAACCATAAAGGCGTCTATCATACACAAAATAAACCCTATTTTTCGTATGCAACTTCCATTGAACCTATAAGTGGTCTTAGCCGTTATGGAGAATCTTGTTTTTACTAGAGGTCCTGAGTTCGAATAATTGTGTATGTACCGTATGTGTGCTTTTAAATGATTAAAAAGATTTTAAATAGATAATACATTTTAATCATTATGATGATTAATTTAATCACAATTTTGAAATTTTAATTTAATTAATATAATTTTAATAATTTATTAATAAAATAATAATAGTAAAATCCACATCATACATATATAATAATAAATTAAAGTTATGATGATTAAAATAGGAGCGATTCAAAAATTGAGTGATTAAATTGAAAACTTTTAAAGTTTAATGACCAAAATAGAATAAAGAATATAGTTAATGATGAATGATGTAAGTTACCCAATTTATAAAAACATTAAAAGGAGGGTTGACATGCTTAACGTCCCACGACAACATAAATTAATGGAATCGTTGGTCAATGTGTCACACCCTAATTTAGGGTGAAATTATAAGTTTTCGAAACTTATAGTCAGTTTTAGAAGTTGTAGGAAATTTAGGGACTTAGACTTGAATTTTCTAATTTTATGTCGGCAGAGAAAAAAATTATATCTTTAAAGTTTGGGTTCTGGTTACAAATCAGAAACAAAGAAAGCAAACCCCCAAACAACCCCAAAATTATCTTCCCTATCGACCCCTCTTTGTCGCCTTGATTCTCCACCGTCCGACCACCGTTCAACTCGTCGCCACCACCATCGTGTTCGTCGTCGACCGAAGACCAAAGCCCAAGCGTTATTGCATCGTGAAACACCTCTGTTCGTCGTAATTTTTTCTCTAAAGTGGGAGACAAAATATCCCCTAACGCTCGAATTTTCGTCGATTCCGGTGGATCCGACCACCCGTTCATTACACCACCTGCACCATCGGACTCAACGTCACCATGTGCTCAAAACCGGACCGAAATCATCGTGCCTTTGTTTCTCCATCATCGTCACTCGCCGGCCACCGTTGGAGAAGCTTGAACGTTTAAAAAGTCTACAATATGTCATGTTTCGTAAAAAAATAACACTTGCACGAGACTCCCGGGGTGTCGATCTACAAATTTGGAAATTTTCATTGTCGTCTGATGATTAGAGCCACCGCACGAGCCACCCACTGTGCGTGGGCTTCGTCTAGAGGCCTGGGGAATAGACTGACCAACTGGACTGATCTGAACCGATTGGACCGAGTCGTCTGACTAAGCCGACCGAGCCGTCTAACCGAGCCGACCGAGCCGTCTAACCGAGCCGTATGACCGAGCCGACCGAGCCGTATGACCGAGCGGATCGATTCGTCTGATCGAGACAACTGAGTTGCTCGATCGTGTCGACTGAGTCGCTCGGTCGTATCGACCAAGCTGACCGAGTTGCCTGATCGAGCTGACCCGTGTTGACCGTTGACTTTTTCCGGTTACACCTATTATGATGTTTTTCGACATCCACTACTAGAAAACCCCCCTCTAATGACGCGCATTGCACGTCATCTATGGGTGCGGATGACACACAAATGCCTATCGTTGAAGCCACCGACATGAATCTCATATGACACGCAATTGTGTGTCATAAATCTATGATGCGCATTTATGACGCTCATTGCGCGTCATTGAAGCCCCCATCATAAATGAAGATGACACACATTTGTGTGTCATAAATTTATGACAAGCATTTATGACTTACATTGCGTGTCATTGAAGCACACGTCATAAATGAAGATGACACACATTCGTGTGTCGTGATTGTATGTCGTAAATTATATATATATATATATATATATATATATATATATATATATATATATATATATATATATATATATATTGTAGATTGACAAATAATCAAACTAAATCACATTTAATGCCTCATAATACTAAATATATATACCATATTATATATAAGCAATCATTTGCATACAATATATTAACATTAAGTTATCGAAAATATTGTAATCATATGTTGTTGAAAACATTTTGATATTTCGATATAACAAATTAAGTTAAATGAAATTTAAGATTTTCCAAAATGATTTTCTAAAGTATATTCGATAAAATTATTCGAATATCAAAACATTACTCCAAATATTTCAAAAATCATTTTTAATCCTTACTTAAGTGTAAAATTAAGTTTTAATCTTAAAACAATTTCAAAATAATCTTTCAAAGTATTTCGAACCATTTCAAAGCCAAAAATTCCAGATTGCTCAGAGGGAACCGATTCCCCCCCAAGGGGGTACCGATTCCCCCATGAATGGTTTGGCTCCGAGATTTCCAGAATGCTCGGAGGGAACCGATTCCCCCATAGGGGGTACCGGTTCCCCCCTGTTCAACGGTCGAAATATTTGAATTTTACACTTAGGGAACCGATCCCCTATGAGGGGGAACCGATTCCCCCCACGCTCTAAGTTGTTTTATTAATTGTATTCACACTAAAACGGCTATATTATCTTCATTAATTATCCCCAACGTTCAGAAGTGAATCAAGGTGTATTTAAACAAGTTCTGAAGCCCTTGATCAACAAGAAATCATAGAGAAACAAGAGAGAAAGCATCAAACACCAAGTTTGTGCAAATCAAGCCAATTTTCCTTTCAATATTCATTTTGCTTTCAAGAACACCATTTGTGCTCATTTGTAATTATATTTGAGTGTTCTTTTCTTGTTCTAGAATTGTGCAAACATCTTACCTTGTGAGGTTTTCCTTGTAAGTTTGCAAATTTGTAATCTTCTCTTTGGGAAAGAGTGTTATCAAGAATTGGGGTATATTCTTGAGAGTGTTGTAAGGTTATATATTTGGCCTCAAAAGAAAGAACAAATTAGTGAATTTGTTGGAAAATCCTTAGTGTGGATAGCTAAGGTAGTGGACGTAGACTTTGATTGAGAAAGTCGAACCACTCTAAATCGCTGTGCAATTACTTTCAATTTTCTGCAAAAGCTTCCACCAAATTTTTTAATTGCCAATTCACCCCCCCTCTTGGCCAATTCTGTCAATCGATTAACTCAACAATTGGCATCAGAGCCTAACTCATTTGAAGGTTTAATCGCCTCTTGAGTCGATTCGGGAAGAGTTATATCGATTATAAAAGTCATCAATGGCCTCCGCTTCAAACTTCGACTCCGGTCTCGATTCGATGCCAGTCAACAAGCCTCCTTTCTTCAATGGAGCTAACTATGCTTATTGGAAGAATAGAATGATGTACTTCATTCAAGCAAGTGACATGGGAGCATGGAATGCTGTAGAAGAAGGATACATCAAACCTCTCACTCATCCAAGGTTGTGGAGTGAAGGAGAGACAAGAATGTTCCAGCTCAACTCCAAAGCCATCCATATCATTTTTTGTTCTCTTGGACCAGATGAATACGGAAGAGTTTCATCGTGTACAACCGCCAAAGAAATATGGGACAAACTTCAAGTCACTCATGAAGGTACCGATGAGGTAAAGAAATCT